ACACCCCTGCTGATCCATCTGCACTGGCTCCCTTTTAAGTCCACTTATGATGTTGACATTCAGGGCTCTGCATGGACAAGCACCAACCATAGGTGATCATGTACATCCATACATCCCCAGCAGGTCCATGAGGTCATTTGATCAGGGCTTGCTGGTTGTCCATCATACGAGGCTGAAAACAAAAGGCGACAGAGCTTTTGTAACTGTGGCCCCCAGACTGAGTGGACTCTCTCCCTTTGAGCTTGAGTTCTGTGGACTCAGTGGTCTCTTTTAAAAACAGCTAAAAACTCATCTATTTAAACTCGCTTTTGGTTGATTTTTGTTTTTATGTTTTAGCTTCTCTCTGAAACACTTTTTGATTTTATCTTGAAAGGTGCTATACAAATAAATTTTTACTTACTTACTTTACTGTGGAATGCCCATATTTGTAGTAATGCTGGCTAAAGTTCCATCACTAATCCTGACACACTCAATGGTCAATGGTGGTCAATGGTAACTTTATTGTCCCTAACGGGAAATTGATTTACAGTATGTCCGTACAAACAAACAAACAGACAACCAACACATCACATACACTCACCAAAATAATATAATATAATATGATATAAGCCTGAGAAAACAACCTAGATTTTTCATCAAAAAAGTGCAGTGTGCAATGGCAACAACACTTATGGTTTAGTGTTATGATAATAGCACTAGGTACAAAAGACAATCTATGTCTCTATGTCGTCACTGCAGGCACTTTATAACAACGACCTGATGGAAGCAGTTGAAAATCATTAAAGAAAAGATGATCTGAACACAACACGACAGAGGTCGCCTTCCTCAGCACCTGCCTGTTATAAAAGTCCACAATCTGGACCTGAGACCTCCCTGAAATCTGGCCAGCCACTTTAACCAGGTTGTTAAGTCTGGTCTTATTATTCAGGGACATATTACCGTACCAAGCAATGATACAGAAAGTTAAAACAGATTCAATAAAACTTTTATAAAAAAGAGTCATCAATTTAGATGAAACATTAAAACCTCTCAACCTCCTTAAAAAGTCCAGTCTTTGTTGAGCCTTTTTCACTGTAGCAGCAAGATGTGACTCAAAGGACAGAGACTTATCAAGAACAACCCCCAAATACTTATAACTGTCCACCAGTTCAATGGCTGCACCATTTACCACTGTTAGCGCAGGATGGGGGGATGTCTTCCTGAAGTCAATAACCATGTCCTTGGTTTTCAAGGTGTTAATCATTAAGAAGGACTGATCACACCATGAAACAAACTCATCCACAACAGGCCCATGGGGATCCTCTTCACCATGAAGGAGGCTTACAATGACTGTGTCATCTGCGTATTTAATGAAATGCCTGTTGGCCTGTGTACTGCGACAGTCATTAGTGTACAAAATATACAGTAGAGGAGAGAGACAACAACCTTGTGGTGAGCCAGTAGAAGAGTTCAGCTGTTTGGAAA